TAAACGAAATTTGATGGCAAATGTGTCCTAGAGTCACCGTGTGAGTGTGGCTAAAAATTACACTTATAGTCTGCTGGCCACAAAGCAGCTATATCATCAGTGTTTTATTTGTTGAATACAACACCATTTGTGTGTTTTTACCCCTAAAAAAAACACTATAATTTGTGTTTTCTGTTCAGAAAAGCATTGAGATCTCTTTAAACGTCGATATTCTTCCCTTGTAAATGTATAGCTGAGAGTCTGCGGTGAAGTAAGGACAGCTGAGATCTACACAGCAGGGCAGTCAATGCAGATTTATGTGGAATACTCATTGAGGTAATGGACACTGAGATGGGTGATAGTGAAAGGCTGCAGTGAGAGCAGCAATGAGTCAGACTTGGCGTGGCGAAGTGAAGTTGCAGCCAATTGCACTTTCCATACACAACAACGGACAAGATCACCTTAGCCAATGTGACGCTGTTTGCCAAAAACAGCATCCATTCACGTTGTTCTGTCGGACACTTTGCAGAAGCTCTGCAGTTTGGCAGGACAGAAACTGTTTTATCAAATTATATAATTTCTTAAATTAAGTTGTGCTGCTTAGAACTAATTTTATTTTAGAAAATGAACACAATAAATCATCCACTGCGTCAATGACACTCACAGTCCTGCTTCAACCAGCAGTTTTGCTTTTAGATAGTTAGAAAACAACATTTACCCCTCTGAGTTCATTATAAGTTGTGCCCCTTTAAGGTGAAGTTATGTCATCGCTCTGTAGAGCTGCCAACAGTTGATCAAATAAAGTGTTGCGCAACAAAGTGAATTGTGGGTAAAAAATGTACACGTCTGGTCTATATTATGTTTTTTTTTTGTCATTGATGCAAACCAAATCACACTCTTGGGAGCATTTATCAGAGACCGGCTTTATACTTTTCCCATAATGCACACGTCAAATTGGTTCAGATAAAAGCTTTATTAGCTCCATCGTACAGCCACATCAATTAATAACAAATAGATATAGCATCTGTGATGACGTCACTGAAGGGACATTTTGAAGGTTGGAAGGTTTATTGCTCACCGCCATCTAAGTGCTAAAGCCTGAGAAAGTGGTCTTTGCAAATATCACAGAGAATGAACAACCGACCCTGTGGCTCTACACAGCTTTTCAACCTCTTTTATCTTCTTGTTCATGGTTTGCAAGCCACAAATCCTAAGATATAATTCAGTCTCACCGCTCCCATTATTCCAGTACATTGCCATTTGTAGAAAAAAGGTTTGATAAAACCACTTCATGCTAATTGGCCAGCACCAAACAGGCAAAGTTAGCGACTAGCTGGTGGATATAGTGGAGCATTAGCAGCTAAAGAGCCTCCCATTTTTTGTAAGGAGACGGTGGAGACATAGTTTAACATTTTGGGAAATACATGTGCCTTAAAAATGTGCCTTTCACAAGCATTATTGTATATGAGAAGATTGAAATCAATCACATACTGTCTGGTAAATATACAACTACAGCTAGCAGCCAGTTAGCTTAGCTTAGCATAAAGACCGGAAACACAGGGAAATAGCTAGCTTGGCTCTTTCTTAAGGTAAGATAACACTTCATACATTAAAGCTGTGTCCCAATTCGGGGGCCACCTCCTTCAAAGCACACAGTCTTTGAAGCCATGGCCAAACGGAAATGACACCGCCTAGTCTACGGAGGAGTCCTATCCTCGACTGCTGTTATATTTGTGGAGTCTACCATATTCTCTTTTTGAAAATTGATTCATCACTAGTGAGCAATGAATCTTGGGATAGGTTTGGCAGGCACTGTTGGATCCTTCATTGCCTGGGAAATGAATAACACATTAAACAGCTGCATTTTAGAGAGCCTTCACAATGGGACGGCCATGTTGCGCAATTGTGATGCAATTGATCTTCAGATGCAGCCGTCGAAGGATGCAGCCCCTAAATTGAGACACATCTTGAGTCATCTTCTAAAGTTGCTGTCGTCACGACAAGATGAGTCCACAAAAAGCACAACTTTGGTTTATGTACGGATTAAACAAACAATGAATTAGTTACGCTTGGATAGAGCTCTATAGCTCTTTCCCCATGTTTCCAGTCTTTATTTTAGTCTTTGTTTACCTACTAGCTGTCGCCTTATATTTACTGCCAGATATGAGAGTGGTTCAAATCTTCTCATCTAGCTGTTGGCATGAAAGTGAATTTCGTATTCCCCTGTTGATGTTGAACGCTGCTGTAAATGAACCACTAACACGCATTGTGAAAACTTTATAAGCTAATAATATGGCGGTGACTATTTGCAGTCTACAAAAGCAAATTCCAGTGTAAAGCACACCCTGGTTGATTAATGGTTATATTGTGAAATGTAAAACTTAATGTTGTATAATCTATAATAAGGTTGGAACTGCTGTAGTAAACCCACCTTTTCCAAAAGATTGATAGTTGATAGTAAAAGAGAAAGAGGAGTGAGAGAAAAGTAAGAGAGACTAGACGAGGTCAGAGGTAAAAAGAGAGGGAAAGATGGTGAGTGTTTGTGGTTGTGTTTGGGACTGAAAGGAATGCAGACTCATAGCAAGCAGAGACTGGGGGAAGGGACAGAGGTCACTGACCACTGCTTCGAAGGCTGGAATACTTTCTGCGTATATAGTATGAACACCTTTGTTCATAGAAACATAAAAGTGACGAGTGGTCAGTCAACCACACATCACACTGGATGTAAATACGGTGAAAGGCTCGGCATGTTCCTCTGTGGTGGGGCCCATGTAAACACTGCTGGGGAGGAGAAATATAAACCTTTGTTGAACCAAACAAGCCACCTTGTTAAGGACAGTTGTGCGGTAATAAGTGTGTTTGCACTGGATTTTACACCCAAGGATAACCACTGAATCCTTGACTGATCATTGTTTGCAAAGCGTAAACATCTTAACCAACGAGGAGGAGTTTCAGTGTGTATCACAGACTCATGCTGAGGCCTTGGTGCCCAGTGCTGACACAGAGACAGACAGGGTGGCAAGAATGCAGTGTCGAGGAATGTTAACAGAGAGACAAAGAGTAGTGGGAGGCGAAAGGGTTGGCATGGTCAGCTGGGGGCTTTTGGCCAGGGAAGTTGCTTGTTTACATCTATGTGACTTGCCTGCAGTCGTGCTTTTGGTCAATAAGATACAGACAATGACAGGAAAAACAACAGGTAGAGCAACATGCAAAAATAGTAAGATAGGTTGATCAGACCAGGACAGGTGAGAGAGGTGAGAGGTGCACTCAGGTAGGTTGTTGAAAGACAGCCCTGAGAAAATGAACATCATGTAAAAACATGTTGGGCGGTGCAAATTATGGCATTTAGGGTAATTTTGCTTATGGACTCCATTAAGTTACATGTGTGTGTTCAAATATTTGGGACAACACCAACTTTCAACTCTTAGAAATTTGCACTGAGGCAATTAAATACAGGCTGCATTTTCTGTTTTTTTTTTAGGCTTTAGATTTGCTTCTTCTCAGTATCTGGTGACGCTGTCTTGGAAAATAATACAAAAATGTAAATTTAATGTAAGGTCAGGGTCGCATTTCAGAAAATGACAGAAAAGTGGTTGGACAGTTTGCATGAACAATGACAACCTCCAAGGCCAAACAGACGAAGAATAACATTTAGCCTTCAGAAAAAAATCTTCTCTGAGAAACCTGAAGAACGAGTGTGATACAAAAAAGCAGAAGTTACTGTACTGTACAGTTCTGTTCTTCAAAATAATAAACCGAGCTCATGTGAACATTTTTGTCATTTAAATGTAACAAGTTTCCACTAGTTTGGAACTCAAGTCTCAGAAATTTAAATCTTTATTTTTGATTTGTTAATTTTTATTTTTCTAAAGAGTGTGTGTGAAAAAACTAAATACCATGAGCTAAATAACTTACACTGAACCATTAGTTTGAATGGCTGAAATTTAAACTTTACAACAAGTCATTCACAAAAGCCGAGGCATGTAGCATGTAGAGGCACATATGTTCAAAAAAATAAAAAATAAAAACGCTCCGATGTTTTATATAAGTCTTAACACTGTATTATCTCAAGCTGTCATCAGCGCATAGTTTCGAATGCCCAGTAACGTGGATAGTAGTCCAACAGTGCCATCTGGTAGCAGCTGAATATTACTGACTACTGACCTCACCTCACCAAAATGCTGCAGCGTATGGAAAGTTTTAGTGTGACTATCAAGAGGGTGTTTATGATATTATTTTTGTGACAGTATAATACACATGATTTGGGGGGGGGGATTTGTTTTAGTTTATATATATATATATATATACAAAGTCCTTGTGATACCAAACTCTTTTCCATGTCACGAATGTTGAGTCCACTGTGCTCCTGGGAACACTCAAAGGTTTAGAAATGGTTTTATACCTTTTTTTGTTTTTGGCATCATGGTTTGGTCTTTGTCCTGACATGCAGTGTGAGTTGTGAGACCTTAAAAAAACATCCAATCAATTCAATTTGCCACAGCTGGACTCCAGTCAAGTTCTAGACATGTGAAGGATAATTAAAGCCTGACCACAGTTTGTGGTGCCACAGCAAAGGGTCTGAATTCTTTTGTACATGAGAGATTTCAGTTTCTTATTTTTAATAAACTTGCAAAATTTTCTAAAAACATGTTTTCATTTTGTCATTATTAAATATAGATTCGGGCAAAATGGCAATTTTATCCATTTAAAACAAAATCTTCAACATGATAAAGTGTGCAGAAAGGGAAGGGGTCAGAACATTTTCTGAAGCCTCTGTACTTATCTTACTTATCAAATTTGCCATAATTTTCATGCTTGAACCTCAAGAGAATAATTATTCCACCAGCACTTGAGTGGAAGCTGTTGAAATTATTTTATCAGGTATATTTAAAAAGGGAAATTAATATTTCACTCATTCCATGCATCATATTGTACATGTGTAATTAAATTAAACTGGTCTGCAGTTAACAATTTCTTGGGCCAATAAAAAGATTGCATTGCACACAGACAATAGAAAAATATCACAATCTATGCAACTTTAATCATGATTAGAGAAAGCTTTGTGTGTGTCCTGTTTGGGTAACAGGAATGTTTTAACAGCAGTTTTTCATTCTCTGTAGCAAATAAAATGAGTTTAAAGAAGAACTGTGCTGCAGTTTCAGAGCCCGCATTTTTCACTGACAAGATCTTTCAGATCTAATTTACCAACGTCCTACACAACTAAGGCTTTTCCACTTACTGTATGTTCAAATTACTTCCTTTTTTCATTTTATACTTACTCCTACCACCTTCAAAAACAAAGCAAAAGAAATATTCTGTTGAACTGATTCAGTCACTACTAGTAAAACAGTAAAACAAAGTCACACATACCAAACAAACTAAAGGAGGAATTGCACATTTTTCAGATTTAACAAGACAACAACTTCAAACATATTATCCTTTTCAAATGTGGTGTAATGCAGCCATCACAGTCAATCACAGGTGGAAATGAGAAGATCATTGACAAGATTCACCTGTTATGTAGATGTGTAGACTGGACAAAAAAAGAGCTGAGGAGGTTGTTTTATCTAAAGAAAATGTTGGTCAAAAAACATGAAAATGGTCAAAAATGTAAATGTACCAATAAGAGGCACTTTTGTATTCCAGATACAAGCAACACATTATTCCTGAGTTGCACAGTTACTGTAGTGTCCTCTGGAGGAACTCAACTAGGAGGTGATGAGGGAAACCGAAATCCATCTGAATCACCAAAAAGCCCTGAAGCGTGGAGACAGATAACGACAGAAGCAATGTGACAATAGAAATACTCCAGGGGTGAGTGACGTCAGAGAGGGAGAAGAAGTCAGAGAATACTTACGTCCCGAGGGAGCACTTCAGGGTCGTAGATGTCGAACAGGTTGGTTCCCTGTTTGTCCAACAGTCTGGTCAGCTCGACCTCAAGAACTGGAAAACACACAACAAATGATTCCAGGAAACCACATTGCATCCACATTTGGTTTTACTTCTTTTACACAGCAGGAATTAATGCAACACATAGATAATACAGGTTCCACTTTGGGTATTTTCAGGCAGAGTTAGCATGTGCTCTTGACCATTATTTGTCATGCTAATGTTAGCCAACATCACAACTACTACTGCAAAAAACAAAACCATTTTACCTGATTTTACCACTGAATTTGCAACGAACAGTCAACAAGAAAAGTATGTTGTTCAAAAACTTGAGGAAGAAAGAAGAAAATGCAAGAAACGATTCGTTGTAAAACAATCCTGCAAATGATCTAATCCAAAAAATGGTAAATTGCCTGTTGAAGCTAAATCCTCTTAAGAGCTGTCTTGGTGTTTAATAAGTAGCTGTAGTTATGTTCATATATTTATGTGCTAATTTTTTATCGCTGTTAAAATGCTACAAGTAATTTTATGATGTTGGGGTCAATGAGCTGAGGTTTAAGTCTAGTTGCACTTTACTTTCCGTGTCCGGTTCTCTGTCTCTTACCAGACAACACTCTGGGAATGCCTATCTTCTCCACTGCCTCTCTTATGAACTCCAGTTGAACCTCATCCAGCAGCTAGAAACAGACAGAGAGATGAATGAACAAGTCTCATCAAACATTTAAACATACTCTTCATGTGTTTTCACGATCAGCAACATTTTAATAAGAGGGACAAAACCCATTTTAATGGGAGGGAACTTTTGTGTTCTCCAGCAAATCCTTTGTGTTTTCTTACTGACGTAAAGGAAAATAATCAATATGCATTCATGAGCACTTTATTAGGAACTGGATTGTTTGTGGCATGGATTCCAATTCATGCTGAAAGTTCACAAGATGGTGCTTTTATTTTGAAGAATTTGCACCGGAAATTTCATTGGTATTAAAACTGCTTGAAAATATAAAAAGTAAATGTTTTGCAAAAGAAGGAATATTGTTGAGATAAGAAGTGTCTTTTTAATTTTAGCTGTAGTTGTAGTGCAGTTGGAATTCAACTTTTTACATTTATCTTTTTCTCCTGTCAAATTTCTCAAATGATGGCGCTGCACGAAATTGTTTTCCATAGCAACAAAACTGTCAGTGAGATCAAACTGAAAAAAAAAAGAAAAGAAAAAAGCTAAAACTCTTACCGGTTGATTTTGTGAGGACAGCTCAGCTTTCAATATTAAGATCCTAGAGAGGAAAGAGGATCATCATCACACAATCAACACATGGACAAAGAATTACACCTGATATAAATAAATGCAGAAAACTGACTGAATTACTGTGCAAGTAAGTTTTTGATGTGTTAAATGTGCAGTGGATGTTTGTTTGATCAGCCTTGTTTGTTAAATTAGATGAGAACTGAAAATGAAAGCTAATGTGGGTTATTTAAAGTCTGTGGTTCCTTTTATATTATGTAGCAGGCTGCTGTGGAGCTGTTCAGGTGTCAGTTGGCTTCTGGAAGACTTCCTGTTTCTCTGTAGGCTGCCAACTGTCAAAGCTGACAGACCAGAGAGAGACAGGAAGTTCTCTTGAAGGGAAAGAGGAAGCGGGGTATAACATGCAAGAATGGTCCCTCAGCTGAGAACTGAACTGTGGATGTTGTGTTACGGGCTTCAACCATTAGACCACTGCTATTTTCATGTGTCACAGTTGCTTCAGTAAATCACTTCTCTTCTCAAATTTAAAAGCAGATGTCTCATTAAACCGGACCTCAGGCCTGTTTAACTCCAGTCATCAGTAAATACTGTGTGTCACTGCTGCTGCATGTGTCAGGTTTGCAGGAACAACTGAACCCAATATGCAGACAAACCAAAGTGAAGAGCGTTTTATTAAATAACAAAAAGGGGAAACTTACAAAAAGAACATGAATCCAGAATAAACCAGCCAGGGACAAAAAAAAACAAACAGAAAATCCAATAACTTAGGAAAACAACAAACAGGAAACATGAAGGAAAACTGGAGATCCGGAGGAATCCAACAACAGACGGACCGACAAGGACGAAGGGAAAGACAGAGACTTAAATACAGAAGGAAGGCAATAAAACACAGGTGAAACACATTAGGGCGAGGCAGACAATCAAACTGGAGGGAAACAGGACAAAGACAGGAAGTAAAGACAACAAGAGACACACAGGGAAAGCTACTTCAAAATAAAACAGGAAATGAAACAAATGAATTGCCCGTCACAGTAAACCATGACAGGATGTGCTTTTGTCATGTCCAGCTGTTGTTTCTCTGGTTACTTATTCTTCCTTTAGTTTGTTTGGCTACGTGTGTTTTTTCTTTTTCTCTCTTGCAAAAGGCATCTTCATCTCACTGAGACTACCTGATTAAATAAAAGTTGTATTTAAGTGTACAACCAAGTGCAATGCTCTAAATGCCTTTGTTGCAAGACTATTCATAAAGGCACACTGTTATCCCCCTCTGACGTGCTCAGATAACACGCTGTGTGAAGTAGTTTGTTTGTCCATGTATGGAAACAAGAGAACCAACAGTCGTCTGACTGATTCATGCAAAGACAGAAGGCGCTGTCATGAAACCTTAAAAATGTAATCAGTCTGTACTGAATTGAATTTCAGATCAGCAAAGGCCTATAAAAAAAAAAAATCAACAAGAAAGGTCTTACTCTGACACGTTACCCTGCAGGAAGACTTTCTTGTCCGCATAGGAAGCTGTGACAGTCATGGCCACATCCTACACATGAAAAACAAATAGACAAAAAATAAAAACATCACTCAAACACACTGAAGCCCTCACAGTGACTGTTCGGTATGACACAGACAATGTAGTCACAGATGATTTCATTTTCTAACTCAGTCTCAGGCATCAATCACCAGCGGGGTTGTGGGGTTTGAAGCAGACGACCCATCACAGTATCTACTTGTCAAAGCAGAAAGTTTGTGCTTCTGAGTCTGTCGAAGTATTTGAAAACAGAGCTGTGGATTCAGTAGAGCTTGCTACTCCTATATTCTGACTCACTTTAATCATGGTCTCTAATTTATTTATTTGCCCAGCAGATGTTGTAAATCTTGGCTCTCTCCGTAAAAATCTCCACCAGACAGTTAAAAAAAAAAGTCCCGTCACAGACTGGAACAAGTACCGTTTGGAAGAAGAGCGTTGGTGTGCTTTGACTCCCACAGGTGAGCTGCCCGGACGCCTGCACCCAGACAGCCGTACCCAGGGTGGAGGTGTTAAGGAAGGGAAGAGATGAACTCCACACTCTTAGCTCTGGAGAACCTGATTCCAACAGACACTGAACACACACACACACACACACACACACACACACACACGCAAAATAATACATCTCACCTGGCAAAGGTGTATATGTTTGTATTTTGGAGTGTGCGGGGATGAGGAGGTTTTCACTATTACCTTTCTAACAGATTCCGGCGTGGCACTGGAGAGACTCGTCTTGAAAAGCTCCTGGAATCACAACAACGTGACACAGCAACATATTTTTTGTTTGCGGTATTTTTTCCATATACAGAACCAAAAAAAAAAAAGAATATCAATCATTTTCCAGTACTTTCTAATCAGTAAGTGCCACCAGTGTGTGTGTTTAACAAGAAGCTGAAGGTCATGTACTTACAGTGATCTCTGCTCCAGAGATGTTCAGTTGAAAGCGGCCATCTTGGTGGGCAGCAGCAAGCAAGGGGTTCAAGACCTGGTCTGAGGTTAAAACACAAAGTATTGACAAACCAAGATTTAATGCAGAAATTCACACATGTCGGACACAGTCGCTCCATAATTTTACCAACTGTAAATGCTAACCTGAAAGTTGCTGTCTAAACGGCGGTATCGACGACACCAAGCTAATGTCACAGAGAGACTGCGCTAATGGAAAATAAATGATGGATAATGCCAGGGAACAGAAACACTAGGTGGTAATTATTGATAAAAGTGCAAATATTAATTGCATGTCTGTTATGGGACGTGTTTAATTTCCAGTCTGGATTACATAGATACTAAATCAGAATCTAAATAACAAGAGATCATTTCAATGCAGTTGATTCTAGTGACTAACATGAATCAGTTTTTCATTGTTATTAATATCTCATCTCGAACTTAAGTCCTAAAACAAAAAACAGTATCGGAAACGTGCCACATCATAAAAATATTTCTTTTAAAGAACCTTTCTTTCTCTTCCAGTGTACATGAACATCCAATGACAGAAGAAAATGAAATGTCATGAAATTACTGACCTGACAGCCAAAAGTAGAGCATCCTGTTTTCAGTCAGCTGACTGGGGTGGAAAACAGAGTCACTGATGACAGCGGACGTGTTGTTGTACTTGGTCAACCCCTGGAAGACATAAAGAGTTTTTATATCTGAGACAAAGAGATTCTTATCTACACAAACACTCCAAAATCATTCAACTTTGAATGGTAACATCGCCTGAACCCCTTTTGGGTTGAACTGCTATCCAAATATGACACATAAGAAACTGAACTACAGTTATTAGGGTGGTTAGGGAGGCTGAACAAGGTGGATATGATATATTACAGTCTCCCATAAACCATAGAGTGTGTATAATGTGTAGATGGCCGTATAAACATCAAATAAAACAGTCCACGCTGACAAATAATAATGAATTTAAAAAAATAAACTGTGACGGGTCACTAATGCCCCGAGGAATTTATGAGTGTTTGAAGAAACTCTCTTCATGTTGCAGGACAATTGCTAATAAACATCATTTGAAGGTGATTATGATTGTGAGTTGTGTCTGAACACACAGGTATAATTCACCTTGTGGTATGACTCGATGTAGTTCGCAGTGATGACAGGAGCAGCCGTTACACCAATGTCCATACTGATGTCTCCATCACTGAGGAAGTCCTCTGGAAACACACACACACACACACAAACACACACAAAATCAACTCATCAATTTATTTCATTTATGGATTTACACAAATGTTCAAATGCATGGACACAGAGAACCACAGGAATATACGTTCTAAAAGATTTAAAGATATGACCAGACTCTGTCTCTGTCTCTCTCTTTCTCAAACACACACACACACACACACACACACACACACACACTCACCTGCTGTGTCTTGTATGAAATCAGCCAGTATATTTGCCACCTTGTTAATCTCCTTGCATATCTGCATTTTAGAACAGACTCATCATTGTGCCAGTGTTACTCTTGACTAAAACGTTTGAACTAAAATGAATGATTTATCTTTTACTGTTGCCCTCTTGCCCCTCACCTGCCCCTTGATGACAAGTTTGACTGTGAAGGTGATGAAGTCAGTGAAGAGCTTCTTCAGCCAGTTCGGTCTGAGCAACAACAACAGACACAGTAACACCGTCAGACTCTGTGATTATGACCATTGACAGTTCATCGGGCCTCAGTGTTCTGTAACTTACTCTCTGTCTCCCTGCAGATGCAGATGCAGCTTGTGAAAGTTGAGATAACAGTCTGATGTGTCTGCTGCTACCTTCCCTTCACCACAGTCTGACAGAGGAGACAAGAGATAAGAGAGGTAACAGAGAACAGATCGGAGGAAGTATGAGGTGAGACGCAAAAGATCTGGTATCTATCTGTATTATTCACAAGAGTGTGAGTCCCGCCTTGTTTTTATACTCTCAGTTTGATTCAAACCACAACCTCTCTGAATGTTGTTATCAGACTAGTGGGCTGCAAAAAATACAGACATGAGAAGATTGATTGTTGATACAGCCATGTGAATCTTCTTCAGTTATTACTGAAGGCTCAGTAATACTCTCTACTCTTCTGAGAGTAACCATACACCTCTGATTATTCACTGCTTGAACTGGAACAAATCAAGTTACTGCATTATTATCTGTGCTGGACACCAAATAATATACAAAGTAAAAGCTTTTTGTATTCAGCTCCACACATGGAAACAAATGCAGATAAAGATAAAGCTGTTTGTGGACTTTACAGTAACGATACAGTAGCAACAAGTCACCTCTTGGGTTATTCCCCATTCTTTTGAACTTCACTAGCGATTTCAACGAGCACATTTCAGCGTGTTTTTGTCAAGTTCTTTGCCAGTGTTTAGCAGGAGATGATAGTATGTAATATAAAGTATGGGAACATGTTAGCAAAAATCAGATGGGAATATACCAGTGAGTATCCAGCCATTTCAAGCTTTGTTTTTACTGTAGTTTATTATTATTTCTATGTATAAAGGTAAAACAGTGCTTACATAGTTTGGGGTTGATTCCAAGGTCGATCTGAGACTCAATCTCGAAGTCAATTGATTGTGCAACGTTGACACTAGAGGAACAAGACAAAGAAACACAAATGGTAAATTTGTCCCTTAAAATCTGCAAAGTTAGCCAATAGCATGCCATCTTGAAAATGCTGATCTTTGAGTGAATGGAAAGTCCTAAATTGATGATGGAAAATGGAAGAACCTGCCACAAGGACCAGTGTATAAGATTTAATGATATCCAGTGGTGAGGTGTCAGATTGCAACCGACTACAGTTGAAACATGGCGGTGCAACATGGTGATCTCTGTGATCTATGTAGATATGAAGGGCTCATTCTAAACCAATGAAAATACAATGATTCATAGTTTCAGGTGAATAAACACTTATGAAAACACAATTCTATTATATTCCAATATGTCAATAGATTCCTTTTGTATTCCCACACACTGGCCCTTTAAATGAATGATAGGATTAGTTTAGTCCTTTTAGATCAGACATATCATTACTCCACTCCATCCCACACACACACACACACACACACACACACACTGAGACTCACAGCCAGCTGCCATATCCGTACTGGATGGTCCCTCTGAAGACTGCAGACACGTTGCTTATTTCCATGGAGATGCCCTCACCTGCATGCAGCTCAAACGCACTTCGCCCAATCGACAGGTTGTGGATCTCTAAACTGGGCGGGTCAATGGAGGAACATTACATGACTTCATGCTGTGTGTCTGTGCATGTGTGTATGCCGTACATGTGTATGTGTCTACTCACTTTTCCAGGCCATATGTGACTCTGCCTATAAAGAGCAGGGATTTCTCTCCCTTCACACTTGGGTATTTGGCGTGTTGGAACGCTGCCTCTATCACTTTTGTGGTTTTCTCATTCACTGGCAAAAACACAACAAACATTACCATCCTTGACTTTGAACCATTACTGTACACTGTAAAAAAAAATGATAGTATCCCTTGCTTGTATTTTACATTGCTAGATGCTGACACTGAAAGTTAGAAGGAAGTCCCTGAGCATCTGGGGCTGAGGCCAGGATTTGCGCACACACAGAGCTTGTGTGTCAAAAGCTGTTTGCAAAATCAGCATATGAGAGTTTTGAAAGTCCAGCAACAGTGTTACTATTTCAAAATCATCCCTAGAGTACTCCTCTGAACTAGAGTTCATCAAGGTAAAAAAAATTGTAAAACTGAGAGTTGAAGACATTTAATATTTAAAGAAAGTACAACATCAGGCCTTTCACACCATATACAACAGCTGTGTGTCACATTCCCCTGCTGATTAGGAAAAACGCTGTCTGCTGCTTTGTTCCTATTGTGTGGATGTGGGAGGAATCAGTCCTAACCGGACTCCTGAGCAACCCAGAGACAAAACCCCTGTTGTTGTACCATGTCTAAATTTACAGGAACAATAGGGTGGGTGGGTGGTGAAGAGACACTTATGGCCAAACACACTTTAACATCATAACTTCTGGGGCCAGTTTCACAAAGAAAGACTTTGACTGTGGCTTAGATCTAACAAATGTCAGACTTCATAGTCAGACGCTGCACAAAGCTGTTTAGTTCATGAATTCTGGGTAAATTAAGACCTAAAGAAGTGCTGCATCAAACTTCTCAGCTTCAGAAAAGATGTTTTCGAACAAGGCAGCAGATGCAAAGAAAAATATTCAAAAGAAAAACCAAAACAGGCGGATGAGAAGAGAAGCTTAAAGTCACAACACAAATTGTTCACTGATTGCACACTGTCCGCGCCGTCCAGGCCCAAAGACGGCTGCAGAACTGACTGAGCTTGTATACATGAGGACGTTACCCAGCCCCGCCCTCCCCCTCATCTCTCTGCAACCTCACAGAGGCAGCAGCACGGGGTGGAGGTGGTCGGGAATGATTTGGGGTCAGTCAAAATAAATTTATCAGCTTTAATTTGAAAGTCAATAACGTCAATATAGAAAGAACTGTGTGTGAGATATAGCCTCTTTAACACATAGTGCCCAGAGTTTAGAGGTTCAAAAGTGACTGGAGAGATACACATGAACTCTCACAGGCTTTCACTGCAGCCACCTTCAGCTCCTGCTTATTGTGGGGTCTCTCTGCCTTTAGTCTTGGTCTTCAGCAAATGTGCTCAGTGGGATTAAGGTCAGGTGGTGGACTTGGCTAAAAGAAGCTTCCAGCGGTTCATGGTGAAGAGCTCTTTGGTTGCTTTGGCTGTACGTTTAGGATCGTTGTCCCGCTGAGTGATGAAATGTCATCAGTCAGCAGTGAAATCATCAATAAATGCCAGTGCGCCAGTCCCACGGGCAGTCATACTTGCCCAGCTTTGCGTCATGAGCTGGTTTTCTTTTGGTATGTTTTGACAAACTGAGCCTGGCCTCTTTGGTCTCGGGGAGGGTTGCATCTTGAGGCGAATCCTCTGAGGATAAGGTCATGAAGTCGCTAGATTGTTATCAAGGAAGCAATGTGTGTAAAATATAAAATGTACACCAACATCCATGACTAGCTGTGCAGTCATGAAGGAGTTTTTCTTCACTGTGCAAATCATCTACAAGATGATGAACCTACTTTTTAAAAAAGATACCCAACTGTTGATTTTGTCAAACCAACTGTCTTTGATATCTTTCATTATCTCTCTCACCTGACTGGTAACCCCCTTTACTATTGACAAACAACTCAACATCGATCTAATCTCTCAATCAACTCTGTCAGCTGTGTGTGTGAGCTCTGTCATGCGGGAACAAACATTGAAATGTGCTGCCCAAGAAACAATGAGTACTCAAGTATCCAGTTACTTTTGAACACTTGCACTTTGGGCACTGATAAATTGTCGATATGTTACACAGTTCTTACACAATTTTAATGTACTATCCATTATTTAATTTTGAAATGAAAATGTTGAGGCTAGGGAAAAAACGTAATTAAGTTTTCGACAGAGGGAAGAAGACAATGTTTTTGGAAAAAGCATCAGGGACTGTGGGAAATGTGGTTCTGACTTAAAGAATCACTGGCACCACTACCATCAACACTGGTGTGAAATCCACAGCAATTTTGGCAGGTTATTAAACAAAAGCATGAGGGGTTAAATTAGTCCTGGGATCTAAACACCAAAAACTGAGTCAAAGTCCCACTCACACACAACAGCAGCTGGGTAGGTGAGCCGGCAGACAGCTCCGGTAAGTCTGTAGGCTGAAACAGGGTCCTGCAGGCAGCCGTGGGACGTCCCAAACACAGATAGGAACAGCAGCAGGAGCAGCGGCGGTGGGAAAACATCACGAGTCATTGTACATGTGGACAGTTCAACTCTGTGAGAGTCTGTTGAGGTTTTCAACCCTGTGGGCTGTTTGCAGTTCACTGTGTCCGTAGAGTCCTGTTACACAAGTTTCATCAGTTGACGTCTCGGTCCTCTGGACCTGTATCTTATCCAATCTCACTTCAGTTCCAGACCTTTCTGTGGTCCCTTTAAGACTTTAATTCCCGTGAGCATTGGCTGCTCTTGCTGAGAGAACACTACAGTCTACTAACCTTTTTCCCCCCCACCACTGTTGGGGAGGGCTCTATGTACAGCAGCGATCTAGTGAGAACCCCTGTCCCTCATCCAATCACAGACGCACAACTTGTGTGATTCACACTTGATGGAAGGACAAACACCAACTCCGATTTGTCTTTCGCACAAGGTCCCCTTAAAGTAAACTGGTCAAAGTACAAGGTTTTCTCAGGCGAGTACACAAACTCTAACATGTTTAACTATTCACATTATAGTACAGAGATTTAATGTTAAAACAAAAGCCGTATCCTTGTTTCCAGTGTATGGATTGCAGTAAGTAAACTAGCACATGACAAAAACAGCAAGCAGAGGACAAGAGGATGCAACAGCAGTGAACAGAATAAACCTACACCGAGTGATGAATCCAAATCTGTTACAACAAGTATAAACTTATTCCACTTTCCCTGCTCTCAACAAGTGAAAAACACCACTATGTTCAGGTGCAGCTGTCTCTTAACAAGGACTCCCTTTCAACGGGTGCTGGGTCACACTGAAACTAGATATCTGACTGTAACAGGACCTATTCAGTCTGTGGTTGTGAATCCCTTAGAAATTAATAGGTGTATTTGTTCTCCTCCAAACCTCACACCTGGTGAGTTTGGTTGGGCCTGAACTTAAGAGGTAGAAGAGAGGAAAGAGGAGGTATAGAAGGAGACAGTGTTCAGCATTTCAATCGTTCATTGCCAGATAAAGAAGCTTGAGTGTAACTTCAGGAAGAGCTTTGGCCAAACGAACCAAACAACCCCAAAGTATGAAATATAAACTGTCCAAAATGAAAAGTTACAACCCAAAACCTAACCTAAACAGGCGAAAAAGAAATGCAACAAAAATGGCAGCTCTCCCCCTATGGGGAGAAATTAAACAGCAAAAACAACTAGGTTTCTGACTTTTCTTAACATGACCACAACATACAAGAGAGCTACTGGCTAAGTCCTGACTAAATAGCTCAGAAAACACAATTACTCTTCAGTCTTATACCCCCCCCCCACATGGACTGTGGTTGGCTTCAGGTCCCTAGATTCGGTCAAGAGCATGAGGGAGGAGGAGGAACTACAGCTAAAGGTGCAACACAACACCATTAATACATTTTATCAGTTACAAATTCACCTCTGGGGAAGTGAAAAAAAAAAAAAAGAGAAAAAGGAAATTCAGCAAGCTGGTTGTTAGAAAAAAGGTCACGGTTCTTTGCTCTATCAGATTTCACATAATCCTGTCTGAAGTGATTAGGCTCCTCAAACTGTTTCATCATTTACTTCATTACCAGTCATGTAATTGTGTGGCTGAAAAAAAAAAAACGATAATTTAAAGCTAATCAAATAAACACAACTCCAACTCCAAATGCATACTAATGTTGCTAACATTGGCCATGACTTTACAAGGTGATTACACGGTGTATTGCATCAGTACTGTGTCAGGTAGAAGCTGTTGAGAAGACACACAGGTAAACTGGAGAGTCCTGCATCAGCATGTGGATGTACTGTAAGCAGCAAACTTTGCATGTATTTATAGTGAGGCCAGTGCCATTGAGTGTACTCAAGGGCATAATGTTAGTGCATGTGTTTCCTATGGTGATATGACCTTCAGAGAGTACCTGCATTTAAACATGGGGTCAACAAACTCTAGTTGTGCTCTTTGTACTGAAATCTGTAGAAACACTGTCCTGATAAAACCACATCTGGAACAAATAAACACTATAAATAATAAGGCGCCATTAAAGTTAAGAACATTTATTGCATCCATTATTGAAAGTCCTCAACACACAATTCACTCTGCAGCATCCATCAATAAGCAATTCTCACACAGCCAAAAAAAAAAAAAAAACTCTTCAAGTCTTAACATTAAAATTCCCAATTATACACGGTGACTAATGCCACAAACTACAGTCGTTCCCCAAAGGGAATCAGAGTGCTAACTTTACAGCAGGTGCTAATGAATTACAGGAAGAAGTGAGTTACATTTCCCCTGTTACGTAAAGGTGTACTACACCCCCTTTTATAGTGACACTGCAAAGAAGGTAGTCAAACTCAATTATTCCTTGTTATAGAGAAAAAAAAAAAAAACCCAATTATAATCAGTAAATAAAAACTAAACAGACTGGGACTCAAGTCACACAACAGCATTACATCATAATGTTGAAGACTTGAGTAAAATGACCCGTACCTGCGTTAACAATCAACACGATAAGATAAAAATACTTACACACAACAAGTACAGTAGAAATGATATGGAGTAGTTTCATTATAGCAAATTTAGTTTATAATTTGGAAGGTAAACTGAGTAAACACCCATGATAGCAAAATAATAATTTCATATACTCTACAGTTTGTGACATTATAAATAAGTCAAAGTGATATTTACTGTAATTTAAATAGCACTGATCTTTACCTTTCACCTGTTTTGTCTGAGTGGGATTTGAAACTTGACCTGTAATTTTAACTTTGTCCCAACTCAGAAAAAACTCTGAGCCCTATAGACCTTATATATATATATTTATATTAGCAGTCTTCAAGTGAAGAATAACAAATCATAACCCTTCTAAGAAGCTTGCATAAAATACATGTTGTAAAGTGCTTTGTGTACACATATTTACAAGACTTTCTTTTTCTTTTCTTTTTTTTTTTTTAAAACTGTACCAACATCACTGCTTTACAGAAAATATACTCAATGATTTGGCATAAAGAAAAAAAAACTGTCTAATTTGTATTTGGTCAAAATCACCATCATGTGAAACGATCTGAGGAAAATCAACCTAAAACAAGACTGTTAAAGAAATGTGATGTGATGATGTGTGACAATTGGTTTTTAAATTCTGTGAATCATGATGCAAATGTTTTCAATTAACCTTTTTTGTATGTGAGTGGGATTTTGTTCCCTTAGTTGAGTTTAAGATCTGCTCACGGTCAGCTTCTGTGAACATTGAGGTTGTTCAATATTCAGTACAGTGACTGTATGGAAGTAAAGAAAGGCCAAATAATTTAAAAAAAAAAAAAAAAAAAAAAATTGTTTAATCTCTCTGTACTTCTGTAATTATTTACATTTTACAACCAGTTCCCGGTTGCTTATCTGAACAAGTCTTCCTTGGATCATGTGACAGAATGTAAGCTGATTGGACAGGAGATCTGATTGATCCCATTCAGGCTTGATTGATTATCCTTGATAGGATGGATGTTCACATTTGAACTTTTCATCATGTATTTTGTTTCCTGAATTTAACCTTAAGTGTAGATCCTGAAACTCCCTATGGGAAATTACAAAACCAGTTATTTAAAACATATAAACTTACATACAGGAGATTGTTTTCAAAGTCAAGTACTTGAATCCTATAAATTCAGCTCAAATCCTTTTGACCTTTCTTTGCTTCCACAGGCAGAAACAATCTTTGAAAGTGAAAAACATTAGCTGTAATCAAATACAGGCTCTATGCATTAACAGTTCATATTGAAAAAATAAATCTGTGCCTATAAAGTCAGAATTCTGAAAAGCTGATTTCAAATCCTAAGTAATCAGGAGGCCCATAGACATAAACCTCCCCACAGGAAGAATAGTTTAGGCGCAATGGTCCAACAGTGTCAGATGAGAGGTTTATTTCTTTACTCTCAGCTGCCACCTACTGCTCAATGCAGGTATCTGAACTTGTCTTACAAGGCCTTGTGACAAAGCAAAAAAAAACAAACTGCCAGTAGACAGTAGATGGAGATGGAGATGTAGATGGAGAGCTGGGATCCCACTGAACAATTTGTTATTATTTACATGAAGTCTGATGTTTCTAGTCAGTTGTGTCCCTTTGTTTCCACACCACATTTTTTGGCAATTCGAGGGTTTGGCACTGTTTTATTTTGCTGGTGTTTAACTTTAAGCAATATCACACCGGAGAAATTCTGTCGGGAAGTCCCTGTCGTTGTTGATTTGCACACAATGCCCTTGTTTTTCTTTCTTCTGGAGTTGACAGCTCTGTACATCTTCCCACGTTTCAAACAATATCTTCGGAGATTATTGTTCCCCACTGAAAAATAAACTGTCTCTATCAGTCACCTGTTGTAGATGGTCAGTTGGCCACACCCTGAGGAGCCTCAGGTATGAGGGAGGAGAAGAAAGTTTTGAAGAAAACCCAGGCCGTCCACATGACTGACACCCTGTGAGGAGGAACTAAGACTGCTGTCATTGGTCCTTGTCCATCAGGTCCATCTGCTGCAGCAGCAGGTTCCTCCCTCTGTCCGTCAGCAAACTCGTCAGCCTGAAGACACAGGGCACGATGTTATCATAAAAATGATCAATTTCAGCAAAAGTGCACTATTTCAATCACAGATCAACCTGTAGTAGTTTATTTATCCTACTTTAAATAGATTAGATTCCATAGTGGTATTCTGGTAGATTTAAAGGGAACGTCTATGACTACATGCAGGTTATGGACCGGACCCAAACAAAGCAGAGGCCTTTTGCCACTGAGGATGAGGAAGTGGACAAGGGGTAATAATTTGGGAGATGGTTTCTTACTGGATTGGGGTTTGGGATCCTGTTCTCATTCTGCTGGTTGTGCTGGACCTCCGGGGGCTGAGGTTGGTTGGGTCTTTGAACCTGCTGCCTTCTGAAGGGAAACCAACCGGCAGTGTGTCTGTGGACGAGACAAACAGGAGAGGAAAGAAGATCACGAGATGCTCTGGTGGCGTAATGGTTTAAACACATACTCCATAACCATAATGTCCATGGTCTGACTCCCAGCCTGGGGACCTTTGTTGCCTCTCCCCCCACATTTCCTGTCACTTCCTCTTCTGCCACTATCAAATACAGGCAGACAGGCAAACAAATCTTCAGTTGAAAAAAAGAAAAAGAAAAAGGAAATATGTTTATTTATACTAAAGACCAGCCTTTTAAAGCCTTTTGAGGCAGATGCTTATTTAAAAGATGAGCGTGTCCAAAACCCTTAACTACACACCAAAAAGGAGAAATCAGGTAGATCAGAAAACTCAGCATATCTTCATACATTTTAGCACGAAAGCCAGTCGGCATTCAACAGCTGTGTGTTAAATGTGTTAAAATAATGACAGCTACTCTACTGTTTACATTCCTGACAGGGCGAGCGGTCAAGGAAGGAGAGAGATTATGAAAATGATGAATGCAAGAATGAGTGACTGAAAAGAGAAAGTGAAGATCGAGGGTAGAAATAAACCTCTATGTCTATAAATGTTAACCTTACAACTGCTACTGGTGAGTAATCCTCAATTAAATACAGCATCATCCTTCAAACGCAAACACAATATCTCTTTTATCTGACTTGAATTTTGGTTTATTTGTTTTACAAATTGCAGAAGCAATGCATTTTCTCTTCAGTTAAATGATAGCATTTCTCTCACTTTCAGCAATTCCTTCTTCTTTGCTTTTCCTTAACAAAGAAGTTACGGTAAGTAAACTTCTAAAGCTATTTAATCCATGAAATGAGAAATGTTTCCTATTCACTTGAATTCCACTGTACATGTGTTTATGTATGTGTCGACATGAAGGGTTATGTATGACTAGGACATGGAAAGCAGAGAGGGCAACATGGGATGTTTCTCAGCTCAAGAGCGCCCTCTGTTGGACCACAAGGCAAACTACTTTTAAAAAAGTGATTTTTTTGTTGTTTTTTTTTAAATAAAAAAACAAAAAAATCAAAACATTGTCATTGTCAAAAATGTGTCTTGTCTTCAATGTTTTATATTTTAACTCAAATTTAAATTTAGGGTGACAATTTTCAGACTGTCAGCTCTCCATGTGAACAACGTTAGATATTGATACACAATACATTTCTAAAAAGGTTGGAAAATGTATTACTATATTTACATTATTATAAATATTTAACAGTCATAAAGTTCAGTGGTTATAAATAACTGTATAGCAGGAGTGAGTGTCAAATTTCAAATACAAATTCTGTTGTATATCGACTGATCCTTTGAATCAGAAAAGCATCAGTTCATGTTAGTCCTGGCAAACTCAAAGATCAGTTTGCAATACCTCGTAACTGCATTTGTGGGGCCTGATTAAAAATTTGTGGTATGTAAAATTCCCAGATATTCACTAGCTTCCCTAGAAAGTTTATCGAAGTTTGAGTCAATTCCTGTTTAAAAAAACAAACAAAAAAGGAAAAAAAACAAACAGAAAATACTTTGATGAAACTGGAGTTAAAGGAAGTGAGTAACCACATCCTCCTGTAGTAGATGCAAAGTCAAACAATCAAGCGATGATGACTGATCGACAAGAGATGTAAAAACTACATCCTGTATGTACTAATCCAGCACTAACTTCTCAGTTACGCCACACAGATAATATTAAGTGACTCTACTGATGTCACTGAGACCTTAACAAGACAGCTCAACTTTTATTCACCAGTAAAGAAAATAGACAGTATGGAGTGACTTCTTAACAGCATAAAAAACAATTTTCAGTCACCAATAATCAAATGAGGAAGTAAATAAAGTGGAGCCTCAGTTCAAACTGTGCTTTGCCTTTTCTCGGCTTTCCAAGCATGAGAAACTCCAGCGAGTAAGTGCAAGTGTCTGCATTCTTTTACCCACAAACCCATGTGTTTTGGATTTGTTTTTTGTAGTTGTTGTAGGTTAATTCAAGGAACAATAAACAAACAAATATGTTAATACTAACTAAGAACTGCTCTAATCTTTCTTGGTGGAAACACACCTCGAGCAATTTGTATACAGTTGGAGACCAATGTTTTACCAACAGCCTAACTTCCATTTTTATCTTTAGAAACATCCACAAAATATATCTTTAACAGAATAAATCATGTTGCAGTTTCAGAGCTTTCTTTTTCACTTATCCCTGCGTCAGCAAATTGTGCGGGCTCTTATTTCATATACATCAACTTCTACTAGGTGTTTGTTCTCTGGTATAACAGGATTCAAGGGTACAAGTGCTGAAGGCTTGGTTGTATGTACACACAGTCACTCAGCAGCTATTTAGTTTATCAAGTGACACAAAAGAACAAAGTTAAATGCAAATAAATGCAAATGAGTGTGCTGCAATACTTCTCTTTCTAGTCATTTCCTAATTACATATCCAAATCAGCAGAATCATGTATCATGTACTGCTGTAAACAATCACACAGAAACAGTGGACTTAAACAACCCTGCCTCCTTTTAGACTCTTGCATTGCTTTAAATGATTAATGTGGTGAATTTCCTTGTTATCAAGAGAGTCCCTGGATGCCAGCACAAGCAGCTGATCAAGGTCAGTAAGGTTGAGCGCCCTACAGGGGAGTGCTCTTAATTAAGTCACTGAACTAACAAGATTGCAGTGAAGCATTGCAGTGAAGCAGTTTGGATTGGTAGTTGGAGTTGGAAAGAATGTTAACAGGTTGGACTTACAGGTACATGAGGAGGAGGGTGCTCATCACCAGCAGGAAGCGACTCAGGTTGGAGTTGAAGTACACGATCATGAGCAGAACGCAGAACCTCGCGCCGGAGTACAACCAGTCCAGCCAGTCGCGTTCAATGTCCTCCTCGTCTTCCATTACAGCCCCGCCTTGTGCGTTCATCCGCATGTTCTGGTTGGCCTCTCCCGGGTTGATGAAAGCGCCGTCCTGCGCTGGGTTCTGATTTGCTGGTAGGTTGTTGATGGGGTTCTGATTGGGTAAGGGGGCTGGCACAGGTACTTGGTGGGCAGGAACAGGAGCATACTGGCCAGTGACTGAAGCCGGTGCAGAGGGGATGGTGCCTGCTGCTGCCAAAGCTGCGTGGCTGTCGGAACATCATTACGAACATCATTAGAAACTAGTGCGACAGAGTCATCTATGTCCACATCAGAACACAATGAGAGACTGCAAGGTGAAAGGAAGCACCACCTTTTACCTTGCAGTGATTAAAAGTGTATACATGAAAACTCACTATTGCATATAATATTGTCTTGCGTAGACATGCTGGAGCCACAGCAGCTGTTGAGGGCTGTACAGGGAGTAGGTGGGAAAGGCTGGTTGAGTCATCTGTGGTTCTCCAGGCCTGCAGTGACAAGATCACAGAGAGACCATTAATATTTGTTCAACACTACAACCTCTGTCGAATTAAAATGTTTGATGAGGGCATTTAAATTTCTTTTTAGTTGAGACATCTTTCTACGTGACAATGAAGGATGCGTTTCAAAAATGGTTTGACATGTTCTCTTTCACCCCAATGATGCACTTGTATACATGCACAGTGGGAGGTCACCAATTATTGATAATTATAAAAAAGTATGTTGCTTCTTCCATTAGAAACATACTGTCACACATTGATAAAAAACAATGGACATGATTCTAGGTCACAGTGAATTCTAGGCCTCTTGAGTGGGCATCATTCTTGAATTGCTCTTTCAGGCTTTGAAAGGTTGATCTCAGTCACGTTCACTTGAGTTTGCAGTGATTGACTGGGAAACTCTGCGAGGTGCTTGTTAAACTGTCAGATATCTAATGCATTAAATTTGACAGATATCTGATGTGAAGATGTTACATTTAGTTATGTTGTGTAGAGGTTGCATGAAATCACCAAGATCAGATTTCAGATCTTCAGATTTGGTGATTCCATGTTAAGTTTGTAAAATTTGACTTGGTGCACCCGTTTCTGTCTGGCAGGTGATTTCTTTGAATTGTTATGAAAACATATCCTGAACACAGTCAGACTGCTGAAACAGATTTATGCTTATGTTACTGAAGCTGTAAATACACTTAAACAGATGCATAAGTTCCTCCTTAAAGGCTTACATTGCAGCAGCAGCAGGCCACGCATTAGTCCATGGTGGAGATGCTGGGGTGTGCATGTGCGCTGGAGCAGCAGCTGCAGCTGAAGAGGTCCGTTTCCTCTGCCTCAGCTCTGGTGTGCTGGGATTTTGGAGTGAGGTGCTGGGACTGGGTGAAGCAACAGATGCTGCCATGGGCCTTGGTTCTGTTTCTCTGGTCTGTAAAAGGTAAAGACGAGTTTGAAATTGTTTAAAACCTAGGCAGTGTCTGTCAGTCAATACAACAACAAAACCTCTGTATAATCTTCAGAGATCTGTTTTACAGCTTAGGATGTACAACAACTTGGAGATTTTGCAGCATTAGTTTAAGTAGAGCAGGACACTTGAAAGTGTTGTGAAACTGAAAAGGAGTTATCTTTAGCTGTACTTTTGATCTCGAAACTGGAGCCGAGTTCTGCAGGATGACAGCTGAAGTGAAACATTTCCACTCCAGGGTGGAATGCTAATGACGGAGGAGGTGAAGGAGGACACCTGTGAGTCTCCAGACTAAACCTGCTGCCTTCAACTTCTCTGCACTCCCATGGAGCTGATGTTTGTCTCACGCATCAAAGATTTTGTTTTTCCTAAAAATGTCTTTGACAATTTGTTTTATTGTCATTTGATGTAGAGTCAAAACCTCTTTATTTCTGACTAAAATAAACCCTAACCCTTTAACATTGCATACTGAACAAACTTAATAAATTAAACTTTTACTTTTTTTTAAGGACTCCTTAATAAACTGCACATAAGGAAGGTAAATGTGAGAAATAAACCCAGTATGCTAATCTACTATTTTAACTGTAAATAAACACAACCCTGAAACTAAACTGTTTTGCTTAAATGGTCTCACAATGTAAAAATATGACCAAGAGGAGTTTCACTAAACACTCAGGTTTCATTTGGGACACTTGATGATTATTAACACTAATCAGAATTGGTCAAAGTTCCAAAGGAAAGCTGCTCTAAATGATTTTTAAAAAAGTCTAATCTTTCAAACCAAAACTTATTCTGACCATTAAATTTGGTAAAAGGGAACTGGAAGTGTGATTTCACTTTAAAAGGTTATTTGACTGCAAAAAAAGACTTCTCTTATGACCTCCTACCTCTTCAGAGAGAGAACTTACTTAAAACACAACCTCTGACCAACATGAAAAACTAAGTTCAAGTATATGGACAAATCCACAATGTCTCATCTATTCACCAAATTTTCCTGAGACGATTTCAGGAAAATGTCCTTTATGAAAACACTGCCTAGGTTCTCAGGAAAGTTGAATTTGTCTAAATGTCATTACTTTTTACCTTAGGTCGAGCTCCCAGTGGTCCTTGGGGTGGACTCCTAAAAGCACACACCAGATGCAGTGTTGGAGTGGAGTCCGTCTGAGAAGAAACAAATGCCTTATTAGAAAAGCACACTGATGGAACAGTCACCAAACAGGCACCAAAATCAACAAAACAAAGACTTTTTTGGAGCTGACAGTGAACATGAGCCTGATATGGATAAGAGAGGAGAGCAGAGGTGAAGAGAGGGATTGTTTGTCCTTAATTCTCCCAATGACAACAAATCCCAGATCAAGCTGACATCCAAATGTTTTTGGTAGTTTATCTCAATGTGATTTCCACACAGCTCCATAAACCCCTCTTTATATTATTTTCAATCCACAAAATAGCAGAAAACAGAACAGGATCAGATCAAACTGTTTGGTTCTGGTTACTCTGTGTCTATGCCACACAGTTTGAGAAAAGTAATCTTTCAAAAGATGTTGACTGCTTTACAAACTATATGCCACAGCCCTCTGGACAGAGCCAAAGACCTCAAGTTGTGTGGTTCATCCTCTTTATGGACGATGGATGTTTTCCAGTGCCTGAGTTGTCTTACAGCTGGTACTATCTCATCTGCAGCAATATGAACCTCTACTGGGATTCACACACAAAACCTACACGTGAAATATGCTGTACAGCACAACAACCCTTTCACGGGCCATAGAAATCCTTTGTGGCCATTTATTATGAGACAAAGGTTGGTGAGACTCTCTCTAGCCAGTTTGTCGCCAATATGACAGCAGCATAAAAGGCATATACACTCAATTACCAATTTATTAGGTACACCTAGCTCAAACTAATGCAGTCTAATGCAACTGCTCTGTAATAAATCCTACTTTCACAAAGAGTAGTTTTCATTTAAACTGTTTTAGAGAGATATTCAGTTAATTTATGGTCATTCAAGAGGCTGTAATTTAGTGTGCTGTTGATCTAAATTGCATTATACTGAGAAGTGTTTCCAATACTAAGTCTATCCTGATTTATTAGACTGACTGTGTTTAGGTGTACCTAATATGTAATATCTCAACGTGTGATGCTCAATGGTTTCAGGTTTTGCAGCTAGTATATGTTAAACGCTTACTGACATGAGGTTCTAGGATAATGTACACATACCTGTCTGAGGATATCCTTAATGTGTAGATGGTCAGGCAGCAGTTTACCAGCATAGATCAGTCTCTGGTCACTCACAGCCTGAAGAAAAGAGAGACTATTAGGGTTCTGTTAAGTCAAACCTTCAGGATAAAGGAACTTCACACTTATCTGAACTGCTGTATGACTTGGGTGATGTTTCTGGGTGTGAAACAACCATGAGGAATTTTCCACAGTGCCAGTGATAGTTGTGTTGACTTAGCTGCTGAGTGGAAAATTCAGACCTAATTTGTGCTGGGCAAGTGTATTTATATGGAAGAAGTTCAGAAAGTAAAGCTGTTTTCAGGAAGGTTTTGAATACAAAAAATGCATTTAAAAAGTAATTTATGTTATTTACAAAAGAGAGAACAGTAGAGTCCTTCTTGGGTGTCTGTTATGCTTCTGTTTACATAAGAGTAGCTTGTAAACTTATGCTGGTAGCAATCAAAACAATATTAAAAGAAGACTAAGTCAGAAAAATATAAACTTTTTATATAGCATTAAAATTTAAAACCTCTTTTGAGTAAATTGTGTCTTCATGTATTCTGTTTTAACATTGCCTGCACTACAGATGAGCCATTAATTAATCAATACTGGTGACTGAGCCTGGCCTCAGCACAAGCACATGGCTAAATTGGCACTGCACTTGATCAGTAATCATTAACTCTACTCCAACACCTGGTTTGACACATGTCCTGACAGTCTCCTGCCTGGCCCCACCTAAGTCTGTGCACTTTCAATTTGCATATCCCCTGTTGCACTGAAGCATAGATCCTCCTCTGAACATCTGTCCCCTGTCATTTCACCTGCAGCCTGCATGGACACGATTCCTTTCAAGGCTGCAGTCTCTCATGGAGAATGAAACTTGGCAGCCATATGTGCTTATGATTTTAGGTACTTGGCCAACTCTCTGATGAGAATGGGTGCAGCTCACTCTGTCATTCAACTTCTTTTCAAACGTTATCAAACAGCTGCACTGTGCCGCCTGCCACATGCTGTGGTTGTCAAAGCCTCACAGGATCTTTATACAGACTATAACAAACTACTTAACTGCCAAAGACACCTAGATACTGATTGGATGGCTCCATTCCAGTCTGCAGTGTTCTCCACCATTTCCTCTAAGTAGTTTCGGTTTTGAGAGAAGGAAGTTGTATATAATAAATCCATTAGCAATACAGCTTATCCTTTGATACTCCTACATGGGACCCACGCAACCCCCTCAAAAAACCCCTCACACTTGTTTGGGTTTTGTGTAAGCACACAATGGCTGACAGCTGTTAACTAGCAGCAGCCTGCTTAACTCAGTTAGCTGGCTCCTTGCCTCTCAACTGCCCGTCACGCGAACTAACTAGTTCCGCTGACATTAGCCGGCTAACTTATCCGTCTCATGAAAACTCACCGGTTTGGTGGGGTAGACAGTCGACAAATGTGTTTTCAGGTCATTTACGGTCCAGTCCAGATGGATGCCTTCGACGACTTGATCCTCCTGAGCCTGGTTAGGCGTTTTTATGAAAAGAGTAATCGTCTTTTGTTGAGAATCTTCCATTTTTTCACTCTTTCTCTCGCGCGTGATACGTTACTGTTTCCTCGCTACAACTACAATGGTTTAAATAACAAGAGTGCTTAAGATGCAGTTTGTCAACAGAGACGAAGAAAAGCGACGCAAATTTGTCTCGTCTAAAGAGAAACTTGTGCGACTCAGCTGACTCTGAATGTGTCTTTCTCATTGACTGCGAGCCGTCATACGGGACTTTAGTGAGGAGGAATGTTGTTTCCAAACACACGGTGGCCGCTCCTGATTGGTTATGTAAGCTCGTGCTCAGACGTGGAGGCTCGGGGAAATCGTCGCCCCGTGCGCATGCGCAATTTTTAATTATTAATTCCGAAGATCGTTATTTAATAAGAGCTCTCACTCAGGTGTCATTTTGACAGGTTTCCCTCAAAACAAATGATAAATACAGATAGACCACGCAAGACAGTGAGTAAATAGGCAAGAGAGAGTTAGCTGCTATTCCATATTTGTTCTGCAGTTTAACCAGCACACGAATTCAAGAGAGCTGGTGAGAAAGTTTTAGCAAATACGAACACAACCTGCACGAACATTGTTTTCGTAAGCGCTGTACATGTTACAAAACCTTTCTCCATAGCAACATCACAATCCTCATAATCAATATATATGTCAGCAATAATTTATATGTTTCAAATGTCACTCTTAGCACCTGTAAATTGTCTTCAATTTTTGACGTTTGCTGTTCCTGAAAATGGTAACAGAGTGAGAGCTCCTGTCTTCTTCTGAGAACAGAAATTTGTTTTATCACTTAAGTTGCATCAGTCATGTTACATGAGGTGTAAACTGAGATGTGGATGATTTGGATGATGACTCAACGGATTTCAAACTTAAAAACTTATGGGTCTGTGCATGAAGTAAAATTTTTCTGCAGTTGCTCACGTTGTATAATGGAAAATGCAAGCTTAAGGGTGGGGTCTCATTACTGCTGGACCGAAGAGCAGCAGGAGAACAGGTGTGCTAACTGGGCAGCTCACACAGGTTCCTTGAATGTTCTTTGTTCTGAGATCATTCTGTTTGCCCTTCAGGTCAGCTGCTTTCCTCTATTATTTCACCTTTGTTCCTGAGTGTATTCAGTGAGTTCATTTCATTATTGTTTCTCAAGTCATTTTTATTTTGTTGTTGAGAATGTATTGATGTACTGATTTTTTTATTTAGAATTGTTCATAGTTGTTGTTTGTTCAAGATAAGTTTACATGTTCATTTGAATAAAATACCCAATAGACTTCTATAATGACTTTAATATGTATAATTTTAGCCTGTTATTTTTCTGCACCAGATGTTTTGAGGATGGAGCACTATATTATAATCATGGATTGTGCATTTAAAGGCCAAGGTCTTTACAAGAGAACACCTGTGGTGCTGATAAAAATTCAGGGTCTCAAGGACGCTTTAGTAGGCCAGGTGTTCTTTCACACTATGAACATGTATAAAAGATACAACAAATAGAATCAACCACATGTTTATTCTGTATTTTAAATTATTGGTCAACAACAACAACTCTGGAGAGACATACAGTATATAGCAGTATATACTGTTCAGAATCAGCACACAGATTATTGATTAATGGGAGAACTGAGACAGGTGGAGTGGCTCACACACACACACACACTGTCTTGTTATATAACAAGCCTTTCATTATCATTTTTTCCCTTTATTCAACAGTTGATAGTGAAGAGATAGACAGGAAGTATAGGGGAGAGAGATGGGATGGGATATAACACGCAAGCAAAGATCCCTGGTCAGACTGTAGCCCTGGACATTATGTGCCATGTGTTGTAACCGTTCAGCCACCAGAACGCTCCAAGCCATTCTTTATTTTAAACATATTAATAACAACAATCATATTGAACTAAAGTAATTTTGTCTTAATTTGTGGAATAAATGTAAGGAAAGGACACAAAATATTTTATGTGCACATAATTGGACGATATTACTAATAACTTTTTTATAAATTATTGTCTTTACAATCAGTAATTGCTTCAATTTATTTATTCAGTATGTGTTTCCAAGAGTGATTCCCTTT